AAAAAAAAAAAAGAAAAAAGGAGAAAAAAAATATATGAGCATTTTAAAATATAACCCAGTGCAAGTCTTCGTTTGTTCTGCAGGGGGATTTCCTCACGTTGGGGGGGTTCTGTCCCTCCCAGGCTGCTCCCCTGTGGGGTTCTGCCACTATTAGGGGGGTGACCATCCTCCTGCACACCTCTCCCACCTTCAGCCCTGCAGAAGGAATTCCACGTTCCTTTTGCCTCTCCATGCTGGTGACATGGGACAACTCAGAGCCATTCAGGATATCAGTGCTGGTGGAGCCCCAGGCCCCATGGCATGTCCTGGGATCATGGCACATTCTAGGGACATGGTATGTCCTAGGGTTGTGATACCTCCCGGGGATGTGGCACATCCTGGAATCGTGGCACATCCCAGAGTCATGGCACATCCCGAGGACATTGGCACCTCGTGGGGATATGGCATGTTCTGGGGTCATGGCACATCCCGAGGACATTGGCACCTCGTGGGGACATGGCATGTCCTGGGGTCATGGCACATCCTGAGGACATTGGCACCTCGTGGGGACATGGCATGTCCTGGGGTCATGGTACATCCTGAGGACATTGGCACCTCGTGGGGACATGGCATGTCCTGGGGTCATGGCACATCCCAGGCAGCAGCAGCACCCAACCATGGGGATGGGCGCAGTGACAATGCCATCCCCATGCACGTGGGCACGGCACTGTTCTCAGCCTCCCTCCCCTCCTAGTGCCGTGGTACCAGAGTGCCTTGAGTGTCACCTGCCCTCGTTGCCAGGTGTAAATGAGACTGAACTCACTCTTGGGTTTACAGCAGAGATAATTCCCCGGCGGCAGCTGCCGAGCGGTGACACAGAGATGGCAAATGGGTGTTTCAATGCAGTTAGTGCTGATCTGCATGCTGCCAGCTCTGCCACGATGTTGTTTCATTTAGGAAGCACAGGGACATGAGGGATGATGATGCTCGGAGGTGACAGCTGCTGCTTGCTGTGGGATGCTGCCTGATGCCTCCCGACCCACGTGGGCAGCACCCGCAGGCGCTGGGCGCTGCGCTCGCACATGGGCTGGATGCTGTTCCAGTGGCTATTTGTCTTGTTAACCTCCAGGCAGCAGTTTGTGTTTGGAGAGTAAATATTGACCTCCTCCCTCCCTGAGGTTTATTTTTTTTTCCTTCTTTTCCCCTTCTTCCCGAGGTGGATGAGTCGGGATGCGTGGCCAAGGCTCCCCACCGTGCTCGTCCTCGTGCCACCACCCATTGGCACCAAAACCATGCTGTGCTTTGGGAACGGGGCTTGCTTCTCCATTTAAAGCAGCTAATGCCAAAAGCAAAGGGAAAGCTGAGCTGCCCGATGTTTCCTCCTTTGCCCCGTTCACTGTCCCCTCCATGGTGGCACAAAGGAGGAGGAGGATGGCCCTTTGTTGAACTCATGCCTGGTTCTTCAGCTTCAACCGGAATTGAGGTGTGTGTTCTGCTCCCCCCCTCCTGATTCCTTGATGACAGAAGGTGGCTGTAAGGGGATGGAATGCTTTGCACGTGCAGTAGTTGGGGTTTTGCTTTGCAGCAGGGCTGGGTGTGTGCAGGATTGGCCCTTGCCCTGGGAGCAGCATGGAGACATGGGGCTCAGGGATGGCACAGAAAGATGCAGAGCTCTCTAATCTGCTAATGGCAGATGTGCTTACAGCCTGAGCTCTTGGACAGGTGACTGTGGGAGGGCATTTCAGCTTCCTCTGCTTCTCCAGATACTTTTTGGGCACAGTGTGTGGAGGATGCTGTGCCGGCGGGTGCAGAGCTTTCTCTTGGAGATGCATCTCACTTAGTGGCACTGGGCTGGCTGCTTAATTCCTGTGCATCCCAGAGCTGACAGAGACGGAGTGAGGTGTCGGCAGACGTTTTGAAATCCTTAAGAGAAGGGCTGTGATCCCAGCGCTCTCCATGCCTTTGCTTTGTAGCAAGGAGGGGCTCTACAAATAAATACAGACAGATGAGCTCTTTCACTGGTCATTTGTCACTTCATAATTGCTAAAGAAAAGCAGGTTAGTTTTCTCCTCCTGACCTCTCTAAAGGAGCCTTTTCACCCCAGCTGGGCCTGTGGCCAGGTCAGGTCCCCACAGGGCAGGGCAGCCTTTGCCCCATGTTGGGGCTGCAGGGGACACCTCAGCCTTTGGCATTTCCTGGGGCTTTGCACGGCATTTTGTGGTGCCTTGGCCATGAGTGGGTGCAAAGGGGCTGGGTGAGGGCAGAGAGCCTGGTTTGCTGGGAGGTCAGCAGCACATGGATGGCTCGGGAGATGTGGAGTCTGAGGTCTATCGCTGGTACAAACTGTGATGGGCTGAGTTGTGCCAAGCTGGGATGTGCCAGGCTGTGCTGAGCCATGTCATACTGAGCTATGCCAAGACGTGCTGTGCCATGATGAGCCATGCTGAGCTGTGCCATGCCATGCTGAGATGTGCCATGCTATGCCATGCCGAACTGTGCCTTGTTATGCTGTGCCATGCTGTGCCATGCTGAGCCATGCCATGTAGAGCCGTGCCATGCCATGCCGTGCCATACTGCGCCGAGCCGAGCCCAAGAGCAAAGTGCTGCTGCCCCCTCCCGGCCCCGCTGCCCGCTGTTCCCTTCACCTCCCTCT